GTGTAAATCTTTACGGGAGTAGAAAGCCTCATCTTTCTCCCGCGGAGCGGCTGGTAGTTTCGAACCGCTGACCTTAAGGTTCGCAGCCTGATTCGATCAAGTGCAGAAACATTAAATAACTTGCTCAAGTTCACCCAGGTGGTGTAAACCCCAGAGGAAAAGTCCTTTTCACTGATGCCCCATTGACCTTCCCCATGTGAAAGGTGTCTCGCTTCCATTCCAGAAGGTTCTCCTTACACATTTGAAAAGGAAGCTGTCTTATCCAATGGATGGCAATCATGCCTATAAAATCACTTAGCTTACTGGGATAGCGTGATTCTTTTAACATATAAATGCTCTTAGGATTATGATCAGATTGAATTTTGAGATGAGAAAACAGATGTCAAAGTTATCTTACCTCTTATCACGTGGGGAGGAGGAGTTGCCTCAATCACTGGAGCTCCTATTGCATGTAGTGAGGTCTCTGGCGTTGGTGAAGGATTGGCCCAAGGTGGGATTGAACTTGGAGCAACTTTGGTGCCATAGTACAGAGCACCTGCACAGAAAAACATATATCCATTAGTTTCTAGGTTTACATTTCCATGGTAGGTTTACATTACATTAATTGCTTACGTTTTCAATGGTTCTCAGCTAAGATTCTCTCTCCCTCTCTTTTTTTAGCTTTTATTGTGCATTGAGTGATAGCTTACATGGGAGAACATCAGTTTTGCACTCATCCTTTCATATTTTGTATCATTGCAATGATTACAATCCCCTCCATGCATCACCATTCAACAGTGTTTGCTTCTATTCCCTCTGCTTTTTTTTTTTTATGTACACAAAACACTCAGGTATATATAATCATTTGAACAACCCAAGGGCACATTCTACAAGCCTGCCTCCTGGCCACCAGCACATAGCCGTTCTCTTTCCATGTGTTAGGTTTCTCAGCTGCTGTATCTCTTGATATCATCATCTCTGCCTCCATCTCTGGTGTCACTGCTTCTCTGGATAGGGTCCCACATTCTGCTCATGCTCTTCTCCCTTGATGGTCCTAGAGTCCTCTGTTCCTGGATTGTAAGATGAACTACTCCCCCCATGCCAGAGTTCTCTCTTTCCTGGCTCCGTCAGGAATCATGCTGTATGGTTCTACATGGTCCCCACTAGAGTCCACAACCTGCGCTAACGTCTTGGTTGGAGGAACCATGCCACAGAGATCGGGGAAGGGTCTCTTGCTTTCAGCATAGACCAGAAGAATATGTCCAGTCCAACCCAGGAGAAGTCTGAGATGTTGTCAGTTATCTTGTTGTTGTTGTTAAGTTCAATGGAGTCGGTTCCAACTCATAGTGACCCTGCACAGGGTTTCCGAGGCTGTAAATCTTTATGGGAGCAGAATGCCTCATCTTTCTCCCATGGAAATGCTGGTAGTTTCGAACTGCCGACCTTGAGGTTAGCAGCCTGATTCATAACCACTATGCTACCAGAGCTCCTTCAGTTATCTTCTTAGACATATCTTTATTTACTCACCATACAACAGTCTGAGCAATGTATTTTCCCATTGAGGTTCCCTCACTAGTGAGAGACATTTTAAATACCAAAAGAACTCATTTTTGTTTTCAGATATCTAGTCTGTCTCCCTAGATAAATTTAACAGTTGAAGTTCCTGATTCTCACACTGGGATATTAGAAGTCAGAGTTCCTTGAAACTTACACCACTACTGTAAACTTGGTGCCTCACTTTAGGAGAACTAAAAATGCAGAAAATGGTCCCTCCAGCATATGCAGGTCATTCTCAAGACAATCCTCTGACATTTGGCCCCACAGGTGGCTCAGTGTGCAGTGATGCCCAGGGACCCGCAGCCTGGGTGTGCTGACCCAGATCTGTCCATACAAGGGGCTCAGTCATCATGCCACACACCTGGTTCACTTCCTTCAGACTTCTCACGGAGATAAAATTTTACTTATGTATATAAAAATTAATAATATATTTCTATTATTTTAATCAAATATCAACCAATTATAATTTTAATATGATTCTGTGGGGAGAAAGGGGAATGGAAATACAAATTCAAATAGCAAAAGAGGACAATATAAAATTTCCAGTAGTTAAAATAGAATTTGTTCATTTATATGTGTATATATGTATGTTCACTTAAAAATATATTTTTTTTAGTGGATGAATATGAGTATTTTGGATTCCATGGAGTGCATTTAAGTGTCGTAGAACAGTTTTCATTTTAAAGGAATAATATTTACTTTCTACCAGAAACTGGATTTTTTGCAACTATTTAAATCAAAGATTTAAAATACTGATGCAAAAATGTGCAACCGTGGTTGTGTGCAGTTGAATCAGTTCTGATTCCTTGTGACCCTGTACAGGGTTTCCGAGGCTATAAATTTTTATGGGAGCAGAAAGCCTCATCTTTCTCCCGTGAAGTGGCTGGTAGATTCAAACTGCTGACCTTTAGGTTAGCAGCCCAACTTACAACCCACTACGCTAGTAGGGTTTCTTGTGGGAATACATTGTTGTTTGATGTTAATAGCCATCGAGTCGGTTCCAACCCATAGTGACCCTGCATAGGGTTTCTGAGGAGCGACCGGTGAGCTCGAACTGCCAGTCTTGCAGTTCAAACCGACTTTGCAGTCCAGTGCATTAACCCAGAGCACCATTGTTGTTGTTGTTGTTGTTATGTGCTGCATAGCGACCCTGTACAGGGTTTCCGAGGCTGTAGATCTTTACGGGAGCAGAAAGCCTCATCTTTCTCCCGCAGAACAGCTGATAGTTTCGAACTGCTGACCTTGAGGTTCGCAGCCCGATTCGTAAACACTACGCTACCACCATAGACTTGAGGAATTTGGTGAGTAAACATTTCCTAAGACCATAGTAATAAACCATCTGCAAAATTAACTGATGGAGAGCCGGAACAAAAAACAAGCACAGACCTTGGGTACGAGGTGTAAGAGCAGCAGAGGCTCTGGGATTCCATACAGAGCAAGGAAGCTGCCCTGTAATGTTTCTCCACCAGATTGAAACACTGACCTGAACAGCAAGAGTAATCATGTGGAGGAGAGTCTGCCAACATCCGCTCATCCCCAGCGTCATTCTCAATCACCATTGCAGTGAGTGGTGTCACAATATGATGTTCCAGAGACATCTGCAGGATTGTTCTTGTAATTTTCTTTTTGGCAGCAGCTGTAGGAGCCAAGCTTCTGTATTCAGGAAATGGAGACACTATAGGTCATTACTTCATCCAGTGTTCAACTAGAAGAACCCTGGTGGGCTACAAGTGAAGAAATAATTGGCTTCCTGAAGTTTTGTAGTATATTTTATCTCGCAGTGAGATCTCAGCAGATTATTTCTTCAAAAGTCACTATCTTTCACAATGATGGGCTATATGACTTTAAAAGATATTCTGTGTACTTCTGTAAAAGGAGCAGGGATATTTCTCACTTACTTCAAAGCCATAGCACACAACCCTGTGTGAAGTTTTCTTTGTGAGATCGTGGATTGTGTGTGTGTGTGTGTACTAATTATACAACCAGATTTCACTTTTCTAGCTTAGTTCAGATGACCATGTCTATCTTCCTGAGACTATAGATTTAACGCAATGTACTTCTTACATTGGAGAGTTTAAATGCAGCCCGACTGAGAAGACAGAAATTGAAATAGTTGACCTTTCGAGAACTTTCCTTTTGTGATCATAATAATTATAAGTTTCTCATAGGATCATAACCTGTCTTCAAGAGGGAACATACACAAGCTACTGATAAACACAGAAACATGGATGAGTCTCTCAAAGCAAAAGAAGCCAGAAACAAAGGGTACAAACTGCATGATTATTATGAAGTTTATTAACAGGCAAAACTAACTAATGGTGGGAGATGTTCTCGGAGTAGTGGTTTCCACTTGAGTGGGAAGGGTGCAAGGGAACTTTCAGAGGTGATGGGAGTGCTCTGGATCTGGATCTGAGTGATAATTACATGGGTGATATGTATATATAAATCCATCAAACTGTACACTTAAGATTAATTCATTTCACAGATTAAGGTATGTTTTACCCTAATAAATAAGAAAAATAGAATGAACCCAACTTCATTCCCAATTAAATGGCTTATAAATTAAAACCAAAAAGTCCATTGCTCCTTGAAATAAGTTGTTGGACCTGGAGGTTCAGGACAATACTCTCCGGGGACATACACCGTGGTCAGTTGACATAACGTAATCCACCAAGACAATGTTCTATGTACTACTATGTACTACTTTGGTGAATAGCAACTGTGATCTTAAAAGTTTATGAGCATCCATTTAAGGAGCAACTGTTGTCTGGAGGAAAGAAGAGTGATAAAAATTGAAGATTGTTGTTGTTGTTGTTAGGTGCCATTGAGTCGGTACTGACTAATAGCAACCCTAAGCACAACAGAACGAAACACTGCCTGATCCTGGGCCAACCTCAGTACTGTTGCCACGCTTGAGTCCATCAATGCTGCCACTTGGCCAATCCATCTCACTGGGGTCTTCTTGAAGATAACTGGAAACAAATTGTCCAGTGGACTAATGGATCATGTGAGCATTGTCTCCATGACCCTGAGACTGGAAGAACTAGGTGGTGGCGACTAGCACTACCAACTGCTCTGAAAGGGATCGCATTAGAAGGTCCTAGATCTAGTGGAAGGAAATATGGAAAAAACCTCAACAACATGGGGACCAGGCATACTGAACAGATAGAGACTGTTGAACCTTGAGACTGTGGTCCTCAGTCATCCTTCAGGTCTAGAACTGAACTCCTCCCTATGGCTCGATTTTCAGCCAATCAATGGACACGTATATGGGGAGGGCAAAAAAAAAGTCTGATTGCGGTTGAGTCAATTCCGACTCACAGTGATGCTACAAGACAAAGTAGAACTGCCCCATAGGGTTCCCAAGGTTATAAGTTTTTACAGAAGCAGACTGTCACATCTTTCAAGAAATGGTAAAATGGCTGGTGGGTTCGAATTGCTGATCTTTTGGTTAGAGCTTAAGCAGTGTGCCACCAGGGCTCCTCTAAATGGATTGTAACCAGTGGAAAATAACTTGTGGAAAGTATTCATCTAAATCATGCTGCCTTTCTATCTATCTATCTTTCTTTCTTTTTGTAGTAAACTATCCTTAATGAAAAGTTTTCTCCTTGAATCATTTTTAAGTATAAAATTCAGTGACATTAATTGCATTCAACATGCTGTGTTATCATCATATTTATCCGTTTTCAAAAGTTTTTTTTTCAGTACCCAAGAGAAAAATTCACTACCCCTTCAGCAATGATTTCCTATTTTCCCCTGTCCTCAGACCCTGGTAACCACTAATCAACTTTTGTCACTCTCCGTTTACTTCTGCATATTTCCTATAAGTGAGATCATGTAATCTGTGTCCTTTTGTTTTCTACCTTTTTGTGTTGCAAACTCTTGTTGTGTATTATTTCAAATTTTTGATGTAAAAATTTCACTTTTGTCAACTCTAGTGTTGACTATTCTTACCGCTCAGCTAGAAGCTGGTTGATGGTTAGATAGGCCCACAATTTCTTGGTGAAATCAGGGTCTGCATGCTTGTCTTTTGATAGAAAGTCCTCCAAGTCATCCATCTGGGCTAGGGTTTCCAGGACTAAGTCTGTGCTGGCCTAAGATGGAAATTGAGTTGAAAGATACAAGGGAGCAGAATTATAGTTATGATCTTAGACATTTGTTAGGACCTATTGTGAGTGAATACAGATATTATACACTTTAAGGGAAATACAAAATAAGTGGAAGGCAGAACCTCTATCTAAGGAGTAAATACATACCACCAGAGTTTGGGATTGGGTTTGGAATGGAAAAGATAAAGATTTACAGAAAAGTTGGGGAGATGGCATACATATTCTAATGCCTTCTGTTCACTTACTGCTTTTATTCTACATATGTGATTATTAGAATGGAAATTATTATTAGCCTGTTAGTATATGATGTTGTTGTTAAGTGCTGTCGAGTCAGTTCTGACTCATGGCGACTCTGTGTAGGGTTTCTGAGGAGCTGCTGGTGAATGGACTATTCAAGGGATGTATTAGTATTTTTAGAATAAACAGGTTAGCAGAAATACCGAAGTTGCCGTGATGATGCTCTGTACTTTCTCCAATTTAGCAGGGTCAACTTTTCCTGCTACCACAATCTCCGAGCCTCCAAAATAGTTATGGAAACTGTTTTGCGTGACATCTGTTACTGCTGTATGGGGATAGTTGAACTGAACATTTCGGAGCAATGGAGTGGACACCTGGTTGTAGAATTTCTGCAATTCAGAAAAATCAGAAAGATCATTATTTTTGTATCACTTTATAAGTTTAAAACATTTCTCTTTGAAGTTCTTTAAATGCTTAGTAGATACCTCTTAGTTTATTTCCACTGGGTCTCTATGGAAAGCTATGGGACTAGGAAACATCCTCATAATTATGAGATATCTCATGAGACATATAGAAGACAAACATTGCCAAGAGCATTACCCTTGATTTAAGAGCCCATCATGAAAAGTTTGTTTCCTGTTATGACCAAGAAGAAAAACTCATGGACACTCATGATAAGACAAGTCAGTTGGATTGATAGTCTCCAAATTAAAACCTTACCTCTTAATTACTCTCAAGTTTAAATATGGTGCCTGGCATTGACAGAAAACAAGTGAAGGTCTGATTGTTTACATCTTTTTCTTATTTGGTTAAATCAAGCATTTAGTTAATGTCTTTCATATTCAAGGAGATTTACAGGCTATGGTTTGATCTGATATTATACAAAATTGATATCAAAGATGCCAATGTACTTTAAAGGGGAAATATATTGATCAGGAAGACCAGTTGCTTAGCATTAAGCTTTGATAGTGCTTTGTGACCTTTAAATCAAGGAGTACTGATGCAGGTAACCACTACCTTCTTGTTTCATAGTTCACTTTATTGTTGTTGAGTGCCATCAAGTCGGTTTTGACTCATAACGACCCTGTATAGGGTTTCCAAGGAGCAGCTTGTGGGTTTGAACTGCTGACCTTGCAGCTAGTAGTCTGGTGTTTATTCTGCAGTGCCACACCAGGACTCCCAAAACTAGCTTTGTCAGAAGTTCATAGTTCACTGTTCATGCATAAATACAAATAGGGAGAAGGCATATGAAAAAAAAAGGATACTTTTCCTTGATTCTTGTAACTAAATATAGTTGAAAATAATGACAATTTTGAGTCAAATTTGGCCACTTTCTCTTAGGCACTTGATATTATTAGTCAAATGATTTTGAGTGAGGATGATAATAATAATAATAAAAAAATGAGCAGGAAAAAAAAAATGTTACCCTGAGCTGGGAAGAAGTATCTTGGTTTCCATAAATCCTTTGAGCAATTCCACGATTTTCATTGGAAAGCCTTTTCAAAAAATCATAGTCAACGTCGAATCCTATCCCCAAACTGAACAAGGAGATATTGTCTTGCATGTTCTGCTTCACATTTTTCTGAATTTTTGACAATTTAAGTTCTCCTAATGTTCATGATAACAGAAAGGAAAGGAATGAGGAAGCAATGTCATAAAGTTTATGGAAAATCCATTAGGGCAGTTTCACAAAACTTGTCTACGTTAAAAAGGCACTTGTCCCCCATTCACTTAACTTTAAATTACATGCTGATAAGAAATATGGGCAATAGTATATAGCAACATTGTTGGGAATAACAATTTACGGAAAACAAATGCACACCTATGAGGACTGGGAAAATTATGGTACACACGAACAGTGAAATGCAGTGTAGTCATTAAAAAGAAGCAGGTGACTCTATGTACTGACATTAAATGCTATGATATATTTTAAAGAAGAAAACAACAGCAACAAAAATAAGATAAAGATCAGTATCATAGGATGCATTTAATTTCAAAGGTGATTCTAATAGAGGAAGAAAAACACTGAACCTACATATTAGAAATAGGGAGTTCTGGTGTGGTGATGCTTATTAATACTCTGGACTGCAAGGTTGGTTTGAACCACAAGATCAGCTGCTCCTCAGAAATCCTATGCAGGATCACTATGAGTTGGAACAGACTCAACAGCACTAAACAACAACAATTAGATGTAGGGAGATATTGAGCCATTTTCTTATCCATAGATAGAAAACTACTTAATTTAAAGGGTGTGTCTGAGAGGTAATTTCCCAATTTCAGTGAAGAACTGAGGAGAGAACCAGAGAACAATGGGAGAATATGTCATTGTGAACTCCAGAGTTACCACTAGGAGACCTGGGATGACTACATATCATAGGCAGTCTCCATACACCATCTTCATATACCTTTGTTGTTGTTAAGTGCTATTAAGCCAATTCTGACTCCCAGCCACCATTGTATAGGGTTTCCAAGGAGTAGCTGGTGGGTTTGAACCACCAACCTTGTGGTTAGCCATCCAGTGGTGATCCTAGGGTGCCATACCAGGACTCCTCATATATCTTATATTGAAGAATAAATACATTTCACTAGTATTAGCAAGTCTTATACTATTAAAATGTATTCAGATTTTGTCTGAGGCATTCAAGAGCACCACCAAAAGGTATGTGAGGGCTGGTTTAAGGAGAGGAGATTAAGAGAAATTAAGGTAATATGTGCTTCAAAGTCATAAGAAATCTTCTTTTTAGCTTTAAAATACATGGGTTTAAAATATTTTAGAAAGGCAGGCAAATGCCATTAGATTTTCCATCTTAAGAAAACCACATTCCCAAGAAACAACAGTAAAAATAGTTGTCCCTAGAAAATTGAAATGATACTTGCCTACTGTAGGATCTCCATCAGAAACCAAAATGATCAAAGAAACTGAGTTGGGGTCCAGTAATCCTAAATTATTGGCTTCATTCAAAATAAAGATGGCACGTAGCAGTGCTTCATTGATATTTGTGCCTGTAAAGGGTATACAATATGCTCTCTGTTACACTTTCTTTACACAAAACAATCACATTTTGGGTTCACATTTATCTGTCTGTTGATTATATATGTGTGATTTATTCAGTATCAAAATCATGTGGCTAATTTCCAAGTAACACAAATTTTCCTATAGTGGTCAAAATCCCACACTTGAGTAAAATGCTCACTTCGTAACTTGTTCCTTTAATCTATCAAAGTATGAGTCTGTCGCTTTGTTAAACAGCAAATTTAAAGCAGTCTTGCTAACATACTTGGGCATTACTCTGAAGATAGTTTGCATTTTATGTTATCAAGTAATAAAGAATATTGGTGTCATTTACTGATACCTTTGCTGAGAAATATTGAAATGGTTAAAAACTGTATTTAAAAGATTATGTGTTTGTACTTCCACCAGGAGTTTGCTGTTGTTAGATACCTTTGAGTCAATTTCAACTCTATCAACCCCGTGTGACTAAGAATTTCTAGACTGCAATCTTTACAGAAGCAGGCTGTCAGATCTTTTCTCTGCAGACCACTGAGTGTGTCAGAACCATCAACTTTTGAGTTAACAGCTAAGTGCTTAATTATTGCATCACCACGGCCCTTATCATAAATTTAATATTCATTTCATAGTGAATGCGTTATTTCATAATAAAAGTATGCTAAACCCATTGTGGTAGGATATATTGCTTCCTCTTAAGTTACCTAAAATTTGAACCCTGTGGGGAAAAAAAAATTTTTTTTAAAGTTTTTATTGTGAATTGAGTGATAGTTTACATGGAAGAATATCATTGTTACACTCATCCTTTTTCATTTCATTTCATTGCAATGATTACAGTTCCCTCTGTGCATCATCATCCATGGAAAATTTTTACTGGGCTTTAGGTCAAACCCACTCACCTCCATTAGGCTGGATTTTCTCAATATACTTCTTGGCATCTGCAACCTGTGTTTTAGTGGCTGCAACCAAATCATTTCTCCAGGTCCGAACATTGTGGTTGAAATCAACCACAGAGAATTGGTCTTCAGCTCGTAGGTCTTCTAATATGGTCTTCATGGCTTCCACAGTCTATTTCAAAACAGAAAGAAGAAAGGTCTCATTATATAAGCTGTAAACTTAAGAGGAAATCAGGAAAATCCCTAACTCATCTTTGTCATTCTTCAAGTACTGCCTCAAGCTGTAATTCTTCCAGAAAATCTCTTGAAGATTTTAGTTAACATACACGCATCGCTGACTTTTTCTGAGCATTTATTTTTTGCATTTTGGTACTTAACTTTTTTTTTTTTTTTTTAAGGTTTTTATTGTGGATTGAGTGAAAGTTTACAGGGCATATCATCAGTTTTACATTCAACAAATCATATACCTTGTTTCATTACAT